GTTCACCAAACTCTTCATTGTTATAAATCAAAAATAATCAAATTATTTACTTCATTTCGATCGATTATATCACGGAAACTAATTCTTTTAGTTAGATTAATAAATTTCTACATTGACAGTGTTGCATAGTAATTTACTAAACATTCTGCAACTTTTTCAATCGCTGAAATCCAAAAACCTTTTCCAACTACTGTTTCAAAAGAAATACCGCGAACTAAATCTTCAAACTACACCATGGCATATTGCCTCCCTGTTCATTCTAAACAGAATAAAACTCGATAGAATGGTAGAAACTAATGAAACCTATCGATAGAATGGTAGAAACCGATAAAATCTATCGATAGAATGATAGAAATGATAGAAGTGAATGCGTGTGACCCAAATCGTTGTTATTTCTCAGCAGGAGGCATCGATAAATGCTATCGATGGGGTGTGTAAGAGTGCCAGGATGCGTCGTGTGGTATTATCTTTTAATACGGCAAGCCTAAGGGCGGTTTCGCACGGAGCGTAACATTCTATGCCACGGGCGATGCACGTAACGTGCATTTCACGAGATGCGTATTGTTGTGCGGAGAACAGTATAGTACCAGGTTTCGCGTGTATAAAGGATGCCTGGGTTCGATTATGCTAGAAAACAGCTGCATGGAATTCAGCTGTGTTGGTTGGTAGCAGAGAATGTGCATTGTTTTTCTTCGTGATTTGAATAACGACAGAATGTTTCTCAATGGTGGTAGAAAGTTTTAAATTTTAATGGACAAATTTGTATAGCTGGAAATATTAAGATATATTATTACACATATTTATAAAGGTCCCAGAATTCATAAAAAAATTCTCTATAAATACCGGTATCGCTAAAGATCTTCGTGCATCCTATAAAAAGGCTATTTCGTTTAATATAAAATTCTACAAAATTCTATTGCAAAGTTGGTGGTGCATAAAATTTAAATTCAGAATAAATTGTTAAATTTTGAATTCACGATGCGAGATATTCGGTTCACTGTTTCATAATTTTACATTATTTTCAAACATAAAGAGAATCTTCGAAAAAGAGTTAGATGTTTAATTAAAAGAAAGATATCGCGTAAAAAATTATAAAATACATATATATACATATATGGCTTTAAAACACAATTTAGACTAAGAAATATAAAATTTATCATCAATAAAGAAACCTGTTATCCATTTCAGTGTAACAAAATCCAAAATCTTCTTATCAATCATATCTCATCTCAATTGCCCACTTGTCACTAATCAATCATCACGTCTCTTACCGTTAAATGCCCGAAAAAAACCAACACCGTATTCTTCCAAATCCCCGATACGTGGCATCCAATCATCGGCGAAATGAAAACCAACGGAGGGCAAACAGATTCCCGTTTCCCAAACCGTGAAACGAGCCCAATCACTCCGTTTCCAAAACTATTATCCGCTGCTAACTGCACGCGTCGTGCGGAACAACTAGAAACGCGACGTTCGTTAATTGTTTCGCCGGTAAATACCGAAACGAATTTTAATTGCTGTCCGTCCGAGAGTTTCCCGCCCGTTGGCCTGTTGCAATTCAGACGAGGGTTGATCGTTAAAAAAGCCACCGTAAGCTGTATAACTGTCGCGGTTGTGTCGCGTGCGCGACAATTGAAACGCCCTGTTCGAACGGAATTATTTTCAAGCGGCTAGCCTTGGCGTCACGGAACGTGCGATCGCTGGATGCACGGTTTCTCGCGTCAAATGAGAACATCGACCAGAACAAAGCCATTAATTCACTGTGCTTTTATAATCACGTGCCTGGACCAAGATTTTATATTTCAAACGTTTCTGTAGGGCAAAACTATTGTCGAACGTTTGAAACAGCGTTTAATGAGTTTGTTTGTTGCACTTGACATTATAATTTTTAAATATTAGTGTGGGCAATTATTTGTTTACGTAGACATTGATTTACTTGTTACATTAAATTTATTTATGTTATATTATTTATTAAATTTATTGATGTTATTAATGTTTGTTATTTAAAGATTTATTAGTTTGGATTATAGCAATTGCACAGAGCATCTATATTATTAACTGTTATATTACCGTCGTTGTAATCTAATGATAAATTTATTCATTTAGAATGGTACGTTATAGTCTGGTGGAGAATATAAATATGTGGTCAGTAATTATTCACTTGGCATTAAATCGCTGTTATTTTTCTTTTCGTTTTGTATTTTACGATTACATAAAATATTTTATATCTGTAACCCAATACTTTTACATGAATACAGGAAATAAATGTTTCTTCGAATTTTGTAATAATTCTATATTGAAATTCTAAACTTTCTAGATAAAATTTCCTTTTTTCTATTGTAAATCTCCATGACATGCAACAAGAAAGAAATGATAAAAATGTCTAACTCGTGGTCCAAAGAGAGTAATCGAAAATCGTTACGAATAATACTGATTAAAGTATTATTTCATCCTACTACGTCGTATGTCTTCAGTACATTGCACATCACGGTGTCATAAATTTCGTTTTGTACTTGATCATCAGTAGCGAAGGTTCGTTATAGAAATAAAATATCATGGTTTGATGCCTGATATAGAACTCCTGATTTATTAGCATTGAAAATTTATTGTTTCCATGAAAAAAAGAATTTTAAATTATTTCGGTTACTGTAATCGTTAAAATAAATGGTTTATTACACAGACAACCCTTTTAGAAAACTTTAAAGATATTCATCTATACAATAAATAGAATCAAATGGTTCCCAATTCTGGAACAGAAGTAAAATACAAACTCTGCTCTTCATTCTAGAACCTCGATAGTATAATCTCCAAAAATAGACATCATTACCCCTCTTGCTCGTGCAAGTATATCTTTATATAAATTATTTATAAAATAATCCAAATTGAAACTATCTATAAATGTAAAAATGATATGCACCGCAAGAAACTACAGCTTTCACGCCCCGTATAACGAGTTCAGGAAAATTTCCCACCGATCATTCCGATAATCACGAGAGATACGTTTCACTCAGCGGAATTAATTCCTCGGACACGTTCGACATCTCCGCGAGGCTTTCCTTCCGATCGTCCGTACGGTAGCTTTGTCGTTGTTAATTGCAGCTTTCCTAATTGAGAGTTTAATGGCGCTGCAAGAGCGCGAGGTCGACCCTCTGGAATTCTTTGATCTCGCCCCCGTCTTCCACCCCCGCACGCCCTTCATCGTCGTCCCTAGACGGCCCTCTGTCTTGGTGATCTCGCACAACGGCTCTTAGCATGCGACGAAAGTGTTTCACGGAAAGCTCTCGCCATTGATAACCCGTTCTCCCTTTTATTTCGCGACGCGAGCGAGATGTTTCCCTGTTTTATGAGTCGTTTCCAGTGGAAGGGCGGCGTTTTGTACGACTGCACGCATGTTGTATTGATTTTTTTACGCTGAATCGTTCGAGATCGTACGGGAGTACGTTTCTTGGGAACAGTACATTGGAGAGAATTTGCGGGGAGATAAAGTTGAATTTTGTTGTTGGTAGGTTTAAGTATGTGGAGAGGTTGGTTGGAGTAGAAGGTGGAGAGTGTTGGGTGGATGAAAGCGAGGTGCGGAGAAGTTTTAGGCGGAATTTCAGTTTCATCGCGGTGAATTGTGTGATTGAAGGAAATATTGATTCTTTTCGAAAAAATTGTAAAAATCTCGGAACAAATTTGCAACTATACATTTTTGTAGAATTACAATATTATTGAACAATATTGTCTTTTTTACTTTTACGAAAATCTAATCTTCGCACTGAAATTCTTGATATAGTTTCTTCAGGTTTTTGAAACATTGTTTATATATAGTTTCATGTCGCGAGGAAAATGCTACAAATTTTTTCAACAACGCAATATGTGAAGATCAGAAAACAAATTATCTAAATATTATACTTCTTTTCCTGTTTTGAGTTTCTAAATTTTATCTTGTAACATTACCATGCAGACGTGTAGATATGAAAGTGCAAAGCACTGGCTCGTGTTCTTAATTTAAGGAAGAAACCTTTGACCTTTCTATGGACATTCTCATGAACTGTACGATACTACATCAGTGCTGAGTGACACTTCTGTGTTTTCCATATCCTACTTAAAATTCGTACTTTATCCACAAATAGCCAAAGTTGAGTATTGCAATTTTGAATCTTTATTTGTTATGAAATGTATATATGAAATAATAAATGAAAAATATCTCATCAATCTCACAGTCTAAATTATTCAACGTTCTCGTAATATTCTACGTATATCACAATTGACTTACTTGGAAAATTATTGGAGCAAGTTTGCATATAGTTACAAAATTTCCATTCGTTTGAAAGGAGTTCGAATTTATACCTCGTTCGAGCTAATCGGGTGTCATCCATTTTCCTATTACACAACATTAACTCGGTATATCGAGCGTGCAATATATCATGTGTAACATAACTATTTAATTACAGTAGTATGCTACGCGTCGCGTCACAAAAAATGTTTGCAACGAAAAATGTTACTCTTCTAATCGATTAATTTCTTATGCAGCACTTATTACTACGGAAACATAAATTTACTTGCCTCAAAAATATTTTAACGTTTGTTTAAATACCGCCTTTGTTCTATAATTGACTTTCATACTACTCCATACTCTTCTGATCTTAACTACATAGAAACTTATTTGACTTTCTGAAGATTATAATCAGAACCCTGCATATTTTTTTACATTTGCAGTTACTTTTTTACACCTTTAAATTTCCCACAAATCTATAAACATCTACACTCTTCCAATAATTGCCCCATGATGTTCCCTCAAGTGCACATTCAACGCATTTAAACCATCTCATTCTCCAACAAACCACATTTTGCCAAGCAATCCTGCAACCGGTTCAGTCTCCTGGACGATTCTCGAAGCAATATTGGATGGTATTTGGTGGAGGGAGGGGGCTGACAACCGGTCAGCAACCTTGTTGGACTCGCGGCAGGTGCACGTCGTCCGTGGACACGGACAGATACACCATAGTTGTTGGTAGGCGCAGATATAAAGCACACGATGCTCAGAGCAGAGAGAAGGGTTACGACGTGGGGGTCGGTGTGTCGAAGGGGTCGCGGTTGTTGGAAAGAGGGGGAGCGAACGCGCAAAGGTGGCGTCGGCGTCGCGACGCCCGGAGAGAGTCAGTCACCAGCCGACCTCAACGCGCCGCGTAACCTCGCTCGTCGACCCAGAAACCTAGCGCTGCTTCTCTATCTCGCGCTGAACCGGAAACGGGGGCTGTCGCGGCACCGGAAACGTGGCATCGTGGCCGTCTCCACGGAAAAATCGTCGATTGAATCTTATCGTTTTTCTTGAGAGAGAAAAAAAGAGCGTGATCGCGTCGTGCGCGGAAAACGAGGGAATCCAGAGTGCTCGAAAGAAAACGATTGTTTCACTCCATTTTAGTGGCAAATTATAGGCAAATTAAAAGTGTGTTTGAGAAAGTTTGGAATCGATGCGAAGTTTAGAATTTTTCATTCTTGTTATTCAGTTGTTATTCGTTTAGACATTGGTAAACTTCTTGGTTTTTATTCTGCGATATATATAATATAATTAGAATTATATCGCGTCGAGGTTTTGGTTTGGTTAACCCTCTTGATGAGTAACGAGTGGTTTGAAGAATTTGAAGCGGTTTGAAGTGTCGGACAGGTCCTCCTGCACGCGGTTCCTACGGGTAACGCGCCACGAAATTGGGTCATCCGGCTTTCCTACCGCGTGTGATCCAATTGCGAATATTTCAGCTGCGCTCGATACCATTTTCTCGGCAATGTTTTCGAGCAGAGTCCCTTGACCGAGCGGCATGCGTCGACCCGGGTATCCGCGTGACCCGGCGACCTACGTAACGGCGTAGCTGAGGTCACTAGGTACCCCACCCGGATGCATTCGTCGATAAATCTTCGTTTTCTTTGCCTCACGACACCCTTTCCGCGTTATTTTTCTATCTTCTCGGTGTCCAAGTCCTGTGCCCATTCCTCGAGTCGAATTGAAAACGAAACAGAGACACAAGATGCAGGATTTGGTTCCAGAGATACGCCGATGTTATTTCTACTGGATGGACTAGTTTCAAATGCAGAATTTAGTTTCGAAGTGATCTAATAAAATGAAGAAGGTGCTGGTGATTAGTCTTTGAAACGAGTTGGATTAAGATGAAGATGGATGAATGGATGAGCGTGGAGAACTCGGCTTTCAAGTGATACTGTAGAGAAATAGTCTTGAATATATTACAGAATCCAGTTTACTTTCTGAGTGACGTCTGTTTTCAGGAGATTGGTGATATAAACTTATCTGTCGCATGTAGTTAAGGAATTGCAAAGCAGATAAAGGAATGGGTAACGTAATCTGATTGCTTGAGCGCGTTTGGGGTACTGCAGCCATGCTTTCACCAGTGATTTCGGAAATATAGAAGTTATGATTGGCGATCGGTTGTCTCATTTTCCTTGTATTGTATTCTTTAGATTATTTAATATTATCTTCACCTAGGGTGAATAAAATCACGGTTTCTTACATCTGATAATAATAAAATAATATCTAGTAAAATCACATATACGTAGCTATATACAATTTGTCACATTTATTCAAATTATTATCAATTTCACATCAATTCGCATGATATCATGAAGAAGTCAGAGTAATTACAAACTGTAGTAACACACAGATAGGATAATAACAAGATACACATTTGTCCATAAGTCATCATAATTTAACAGGTCTAAAATAGCGGCAAATTATTGTATTGTATACTTGTAAACTAAGATCGATAATTCTTGCACAGCTTATTATATTATGAAAAAGAAATAAATTATTCACTTATGTACCAAAGTATACATAAGTAATAAAATCTCCTCTGTTGTAATATCTTCCAAAAGGAATTCAAATTAATGATAGAAAGCAACTTGTTACTCGTGAAAGTAAGTACAAATGAGAATTAGAGATATCGCGTTTGCTGCAAATTGCATGGTACAATGAACATGCGACACGCTGCGTGTCCCGGTTCGGGACTTTCTGCAGGAGATACATACCTTGTTATCCACATAATTTCTCGCGGTAATTTAGCGTCGGCTGCTTGTCGAGAAGAATTACGCGTCGTGCAGGATACTAACCGTTCTGCACAGTGAATATCGTACAAAGCTGACGTCGGTGAACTGCATCGATCCGTGGAGCGTTATTTCTGAATGGCGATGTCTTTATCGCACTCGTGGTTCTATAGGCTGAAACATTGTCGCTTCAGCATAACTCAAAGTACACGATATACGGCGAAACTTTCAAAATTCCTTGCCTCAAATGGGTTCGACGGGTTACTTCGGTAGATGTAAGTGTATCGGCTCGCTTTACGATGAGTTTTATGGCCCCGTCGTAATTTATCGACATTTAAACATGTCGAATCGCTCGCCGGTAAGACGGCGTAACGTGCAAAATACAACTTCCTGGTAACGAACCACGAAGTATCGTCTCTTTTCATCGACGTATCTATATTTCCATCTTATCGCGAGTGAAACGTCGTTAGAATGAAACTAAAATCTAATGTTTAATATACATGTCATGTAGGAAATGTTCTTAGTTGATAGCAAAAATGATGATTCCAAGCTTGAAACGCAAAAATTGAAAGAAAATCAAAGTTTGTGTTATAAAAATATTTTTTGCTTTCATTAAGTCTGTATTTGTGAAAGAATAATCTAAATGTACTTATTTATTAATGAGGGGAACAAGTTAAACATTTGTAGTATGTACAATATGTACAATACAAGCAATTTGATTTAGTCTATAATTATTACTCGAAATAAGTATTCAGTGTGCGTTTTATGTTTATAGTGGATTCTATATCTCAGCAGTAAGTAGTATATCTGTATGTGGTCAGACAAGGCTCATCAATAAAAATGACAATACTTTTCTGCATGAGTACAAGATATATAACCGACCCCGAACGAAAAATACTAAGGAAAGAATAAGCAAACTTTACTATTTGGAATTTCTATTTTATCATCGTAAAAACGATAAATCGCACGTTTTTCGACGTGTAGCAAAATTCGATGCAGTCGTCTCATTGCACACGGTAATAGCTCGCCGTTCGTTCTCCGAAACACCGTACCACATAATCGGATTTTCCCCTGACACCATCGATCGATGATTTTTCTATTTTCATACTCTCTTTCGTCTCCTCCCTGTTCGACACATATTTCCTCGCTTTTACCTCCGTTCTGCCATGCTTTCATCGCAATACCGAGGCAATTCTAACATCCACTCGATCAATTTTCTATTTTTTCATTTTATTCCTATTTTTATACTCCCTTTTTCACTTTTCACCTTTACTGTTAGTTCTTATAAATCGTTCAAACTATTCGTTTCTTGATATTTGTCATAGAATTTGATCAGATATCTTTAAAACGACCGTGTTCCTTGATCTATTCTGCTATTTACTGAGCGACACGGAAAGTTTTTTCCGGATTTGAGGATTTCACAGAAACGTTCCGCGAACGGGCTCGTTCGACCGTAAAGAGATATTCTTTAGAACAGCTTGGACGACGACTTTTCCACGTTTTCACAGTCGCGATCGAGTCACGTAAGAAGAGAATTATGATGAAATTTAACGCGGTATACTGCATCGATCGATGATCGATTGAGTGTTGTGTACGTGTAACGTTAGACTTTGTCGTTAAGTAAGGTTTATGACATAGTCAGGATACATTGTTCTCAGATATATTTATTACAGTTAAATTTAGCTCTTTTACTATCCGAGTGCCGATGCTCAGATTTACTTATCGATTTTTTAGACAACACACAAAGTTTCAATGTTAGTAAATACACAGAACTTGTGAACCAGGAAACTTGAAATTACAATACAGAATCTTAATATAATTACAATAAAACTGAGAAAAGATCCAATACACTATTAAACTCTCAAACTGTACAACATTGTACGTCTTACAATTAAATCCTTCAATACATAACAATACATCCTTCAAATACATCATACAAATACATAACAATTAAATCCTTCTGTGTTTCCAAAATTGTTCAATTAGAGAAGTGTTGTGCATGATCTTTGGATACAGTCCAGCAGCTTCTATTTCGGTGCAATCGAAGAACTGCAATGCTAATTAATTTGAAGTTCTCAATAATTTTATTGATCGAAGAAACTATTTGTCAATTTTATTAGTCGAATGACGAAGATAGTTCAATTAATTGTTATGTTTTATTAGTAGTTTTATCCTTTTATCACATTGCATTCATCGATAACAAACTTTTTAAGCAAATATATTTTTGTTCGTTTTCGAAGAAGAGAATACCGACTTTTATAATAAGACGTAGGTTTAATCAGGAATTCTTGCTTCGAATTTAATCATAAGTTCTCACCCAATTTCGATCAGCCTATTTCATCGACTAATTATTCTACTCAAGGAACGTTATGCATATTTAACGAGATCTCACAATTAGCAGCAAGTATGGTAGAAACCGCATAACGGTCTCCATCTAGAGGGCTAGAATTTTCTGCATAAACTTTTATAACGTAAATAGCCTCTTCTCATAAGCCGGGTAAGAACTTACAATCTACTCTTAATAACCAACTATGTCGGAAATATAAATAGCTTTTAAAGCTTCCGTTCTATGTGTTATACATATTTTCACTGCATATTAATACCTACCAAGAGTTTTATTTATCTTTCTTCGTTCTAAATTGATTTATCATCTTCTGCTTCCTACGCACTCGAGCTTTTGCTCATGTTTCAGAAATTTGTTACTTCATCTAACTTCCATTTTATCTTTCACTCGCGTTGCATTTTAATATACTTAAACTCCAAACTAATATTTCATATTCTTTTTCTCGTTGCGGTACTTCTTAACTAGGTTGTGGATGTTTATGCAAATACATGCACTCATTCATTCATTCCATTAAGAAAAGGAAGACTTAAACAGAAGTTTGCTTCACTCTCTAAACAAGTACTATAACAAGTAACTTTATTTTAAATATTTCGTATATTTCTGTACATTTTATGTATATTTTGCATATTTTTGTAAATTAAAATTTCCCATTTTATGTAATAAACGTAAGTAAAATTACTTACCCTTTCAAAACCAAACGTTTTTGAACTGCAAAGAAAATTATTGATAGTAGAACCTAGAATCTTAATAGTATCTTGAGAAGATATAATACACTAAATGTAGGATCCTGATAAAGTATCAGTTTATTTATCAGCTGAAGGAGTATTCAGCATATTGTCAAAATTCTGCAGCAGGTCTGAACGTTCTGTGACAGACACGATATACGCGATATCCCAGCAATGAACAGCTAACTGCAACACCTGTAGCCACTAAAAGGATTAAGAGCTACTAAGAGATTAACCCTTTGCGGTTCTAAGTCAAGCTCCACTTGACATCGTCTTTTGTTCTAATTATATATTTCCGCTTCAGTCAAGAAATTACATTATAAAGATACGCTACTGGCTGTTTAAATATAAGAATATAATTCTTCTAACGTGTTCTTAAATATATTTCGCAAGTTGAACATGTACATTTGACAAATAAGAAACAAGATTCCATCGAAACTCAATAAGAAAATGTCTCATAAAATAACCTAATTAAATGCAAAACGCACTAGAAAGTCCAAATTTATCTAGAATCTTCAAGCTGCATCAAACCATATAGATTCGAAGTAAAGAATAGCTATATTTGATATATTTTACGAAGTCATCGTTCATCATATTCCTCGAAGACATCGTCCATCTTATTTCTCAAGGACACGTTTCATATTTCCCTCGATCTTGGGGCAAACTGTTCTCGTTGTGCTCGATCGTGACAATTGGTGCTGTTTAATCCGGCAATTAAACGTCCCGACAATAATGGCTTATCGGGGATTCGCAGAGGAGGTCAGACCGTGTTTCGATATAGATTCGCGAACCTTATCGGCTCGGTTGGCTGCTGCGACTCGTCGATAAGCCATTGTTTACTTCGGCTCGGCTACGAGCACATGTCGTCGGCAATAACGAGGCCAGTTGTCGGCGGGACACGGGCCTAGGAACGATGTGATGTAGCTAGTCGATCGAAAAGTCACGGATTAACTTTATAGCCGTGGAGCACTTGATAGGAGACTCGGTTTCCCGCGCGCGACTCATCCCACCACGAAGATGCCGGTTCGTTCGGGCTCGAATGTGAGAGACAGGACATTTTTGTGAGAAAAAGTGTTGAGTGAAAAGTAGTTGACTTTGCTAGAGACCGGCAATAAAGTGGAAGGTTTTGTGAAGCAGAGGATGATAAAGTAAAGGATTTTTTAAGATAAAAGGATAATGGAAGGAAAAGTGTTCAGTACAGTGCATTGAACAGTGTTCGATCGAAGGGAGGATTTAAAGATGCACATCTGGTTAGTTGTTGAGGGTTGAAAATTATAAAGCATTTTTATCTCAAATCAGATAATTTTGAGAGACAAAGATAATAAAGAATACCAGTGTTCTTTTAATAACAGTATGTATTTATAGAGGGGTTTGTCGGTGTACAGCAAGTTTATGATTGGGAATTGTAAATTGTAAAACATTTTGGTTCAAACGAATTGAACTTATGACAGTACGTGTTTTAATAAAATACAGGATTTTTTAAAGAAAAAGAATAATAAAGAAAAGGTAATGTTCTTTAAAGGAAGTAATAAAAGTAGAAGTGTGTTGGTAGAGGGAAAACGTTGAAAGACAGTATATACTATATGGGAGACAGAGAAGTGGAAGTTGTTAAAAAGCATTTGAGCCGAAAAGTAGGATTGGCAGAATTGTGTCAACTGGACATTTGGAAAATATTGTTTTGATGTTGCGATGATATGTAACGTTATTAGCAATTTTACAATAACAGCGCGTTAATTTGGATGGTACTTTTCAACTTTGTTAAATAAAAGTTAATATTGGTAAAAAAATATTATCTCACGTGTTTTGGGAGAAACTGAGCTAGAATATATTGAAAAAAGATAAAATTTAAGGACAGCAGTTTTTGGAAGAATTTTGACGACATATTATTAAAATTAGCTAACAAAAGTATATGCCAAGACAAATAATCGTGTATAATAAACTGTATGCTATTATATTAGATTAAATACTACCCAATGTGTTCCAAAGAAAACGTAGATTACCAAGATCTAGTGCATTAAATGTTAACTGAAATAAATTGTAGAATTCATGAAATAGTGACAAACATTTCTTAAAGAAGGAAGAGAAGAACCGAATTCTTAAATATTAAAAATTTAGAAGACTGAGATCCCATGAAACTCTGTCCCCAACGAAAAACTATTGTATCGTGACATTCTGCTAAAAATTAGCGAGCTGAGGTCTAATCTAATATTCTCAAAAGAAGTGGAAGAAAACCAACACTCCAGGGGAGATTAACGTTTCATGGTGTACTTACTGGGTAGAAAATTGTCGTATCTAATAATCCTTCCAAAAGACGAAGAAAGGACCTGTTTTATAAAAATAGAAAAGAGAGACTTGAAAACGAATTTTCTCGTTTCTGATGAAAGAGAAGTAATGGTTATAGAATTTCAAAAATAAATAAGTAAAATTAAGTGAGTGAAGAACAATTTGATATAATTCAGTTTAACGAGCAAAAGAACATCCACACATGACTAAAAGAAATATCTATCTATCCCTAAACGAACTGACAAAAAAAGTAACACCCTCGATCCACCAAATAATCCAATTCCAAGAAATTAGATCTCGGGCAATTCCTTCGTGACCAAATCACATTACATCGAAAGATATCTAATACTACCCCCAAAAAAGGCGGAACATACACACTTTGCTCCATCAATCTCTGATAACATCACACTTTCACAACCTTACAGCAGAAAAAAGCAATATGCGCCAACTTTTCAAACAAGCCGAAAAGACCCAAAAAAGGGACTCCATGATATAACCTGCTAAAGACTTGAGAAACTTTTACAACTCAACTCAAACTCTAACATCAAAGAAGCCAAACATCTCACCTTCGCCGTTTTATCACCGATCTTCCCTCACAGCGTCCTTCAATCTACTAAAAAGAGGCAAAGAAACCAGCGTCTCTCATGTAGAACACAAAGCATAGTAACATCAAAACTACTATCACACCGTTACAATTACAATCGTTATAATTCACCTACGTCATTTGATCACCAATCTCCCTGAAAAAGTGTTGAAGGAGGTCCCAGCGTCTCATACGAAGAACGCATCGTAACATCTAAACTGAATCGTATCCTTACGACTGCAGCCGTCGATTTCTCCTTATAGCCTCCCTCAATCTATTAAGAAGAACCATCTTAAAAAAGAGGATCTTAAAGAACAGCGTCTCTTATCGAAAACATAACGCTTCGTGTCATCGAATCTCGTATCGTATCTTCGAATAAACTAGAAACTAGTCTTCGAGTCGATTAGATTCGACTGAACTAAATCGAAGTGTTGGAAGCAGGAAAGTGTCAAGTGTGTCCAGTTGGAAAGGATCGGGTGGACCGTATGCGGGAGCGACGAATGCGGCCGGGAACGACGCAGTCGGGGCGAGGAAGCAGCGGCTGTGCACGGAGTCACTGACCTCTCATCCCCAATCACCGTCCAGAGTGTGATGTTTGATGCTGCAGTGGTGTTTTATGCGGCGACGTCGAAAAGGTGTGTGCATCCCGCGGCCCACGCGTCTCGATCCGCTCCACTGACCCAGTTCCCCTCGCCGACTGCAGTCGGAGTTACAGCTACCTGAATATGTTCGCCATCCTGTTCCATAAACCGCTTGCCTCCTTCGCGTTTCCAGCTTCATCCAGCCGCTTGATACCGCCGCGCGATTTTTGCAACCTGCCACTCTTTGCCAAAGAATGAAAAAAGGGATCGCGACTATCTGACTCGTGGCGATGCTTTTCTGCGTTTTACGGGAACGTTGCGAATTTTTGGCTCTATTCGAGGGTACTTGTTGCCTAATTTGGGAGGCTTTGTAGGATTAGAGTTCACGTGTGAATCTATCCCCGGATTGTTGTCCTTTTTTTTTATAGGCATGGATCTGAAGTTTGATCATGGTCTTTTTGTTTCTTAACATCGGTCAAATTTTGTTTCTTAACATCGTGTCTATGTGGCTTTTCAATGACTAGAAAGATTCTTGGAGTAGAAAGAAAGTATTTAGTCGTATGAGGTGAAGCGATTAGAATGATTACAATGCTTTTAGAAATGGGTTTTAGAAGTTTGACAATAGTTTATTTGCGTAGTGGAAGGTTTGAAGAGAGATGAGAGGATGAAAGATATTCTATTTTTTTTTTTAAGTTTCCACAAGACTTTTCGATATATCAAACTGTAAATGTAAAAGTAAAACGTAAAAATGACAAGAATAATTGTAGCAGTTCATTTTATGAATTTACGTTAATAATAATTGGCAAATTACTGAAATGATATTATATACACTACTCCATAAAATCATGATATTTTCTATAATGGTAAATTAACTTTAAAAAAACTTACACACTTTCCTGTAAAACTACACTCAGATATAATTCATTTCCCAAACAATTACCACCCTATCTACAGTAACTACATTCCCATCCACTGAACTCTTTTTCTGGTCATAAATCATAGCGGATCCAAAAAGAAGGCTCTTTCGTTTCAACTAATACCATCATTCGACGCAGCTTTCATCGTGCAAAGAACACCTGCTACCCCTCTCCATCCTCCAATCTGTTTTTTCACCACGAAAATCGCAGTTGCAGAGCCAAGCTTTCGCTCCGCGATCGATAATCCCTCGACTCGACAACTGCCGGCCAATTAAAATGAATTTCCCGAAACAGAAAAGCAAATGTGGCATCAATGTATATGCGTGAATTTCCACGCACGAATAGCTCGGTAACTGAAGAGAAATTGTAAACGGGTTAACCAGGGGTTGCATTAATTTGCGTACGAGTCGAGTCGAGGTTCGAATAAATCGACAAGCCTGGTTTAATCGATGTTAGAGAGTAGAACGACTAGTAGAGAGGAGGAAGGTTCGATCGATTTCCATCTGGAGAGCTTACCGAAAGCATGGGACGAGGGTATGGGGTGCTTCATCTCCTCCGGTGAAGTGTCAGCACGAGTGTCGTAGGAATCGACGCAGCCAATGGTCCTGAACGAGACCACTTAGTCCCGACGGGTCACCCTCCAGAACGACGAGACTATATCGTAGAAACGACGTACTCCTTCTTCGTTCAAACGTCGATTCCCACGATTGGTATTAACGTTAGGACGATCGTTCTCGAGTCGACGTTCGAGTAATTTGGATACAATGAAATTCTCCGTGGTGAAATGAAATTAATTGGAATTAAGATTTGACCGGCGGTTGGTCTGGATGTTCCAATTGATGGAGGTTCTTGGAAGACTAAGCGGTTGTGTGAAACGTTGAGTCAGTCAGAAACTACATTGATTGACTCTACGCTGTATTGAAAAGTAGAAATGGTGCAAGCATTATTATTTAAATTTATTTTGAAATTTATACGTTGCGTATGTTTATTCATTTAATAAGAAATTGAAGGATTAACAAATTTACAGGGTGGATTATAGCATGCGAAAATAGGTGAAATATTCAAAGTAAAGTACATTCCTATTTATTGTAATATTTAGAAAATGGAACAGATCACGATAGAGATACAGGGAAAGAGGAAGTTCTAATAATAAATTTTAATAAATAAAATGACCTACAGAAGGGTGAAAATATTTGTTTGAAAAGAAAAAGGTTTATAAAATTGTACATATCATATATCATGCTTTGATACAAATGCTCATCTTTTTACATTAGATTTATAATGTATTGTACGTGAAACATGAAACGATAATTTCGTTAAGATCAAAAAGCAATATTGGATTCCTAAATGTCGAGAAGTTATTCCTTGATCGTTCCTCCTCTTTGACGTGGTATTCATTCGAAATGAATAAAAAAGGAGAAGAAACCGTGTCAATCGAAAGATGTTCCGCCTCTCACGTCGTTCGACATCCTTTGCTCGTTAACTTAATTTCGAGTAATTAGAAGTACGGCTACTGTCGACAACTTTTACCGCGTCTTCATTTGACCTAATTTCGCGTCCACCGCTTTTCTTCTGTTTTCCCTCTTGAATTTCGCTTTTCGTCGGACCATGCTCTTTCGTTTTCGTGCACCCTCATCTCTGCTCTCTTAATCTAAATTCTAGTCCTACCCGAATGAACAATATTCTGCGAAACTAGGAATGAAATCAATTCCAATATTTATTCGTATATATAGGACAAACCTGTTCAATATTCCAGCGTATAATTTTATTAAAATAAAATAATAAAATATGTCGAGTATATTTTGCATTTGTTTCATGAAATTTCTCGTATTATAGCACTACGAATTTTAAAAATGCCATACTATTTACGCTACATAAGAGCGTAAACTTCAAATATTTTAATAAATGATTATATATCATGTACTTCTTTTCGCAATATTTTCACAGGTTATGTGAAATAGCGAATATAGTTTATAGGAAACATTCGTATTTCTGTAGAATATGTAATTTTATGGAAGTATTCGAATACTTAACATGGACAAATTTTATGAATATATTATGTGCGTGAAAAGAAACTCTTGTAAATTTTATTTTTAATTTTATTAAACATTTTAAGATTCTCTTTGAAACGGGGCATGAGTATCATAATTACATTTGGAACCGATCTGGTAATGTATATAAAGTTACAATGTATTTATTGCAACCATTCACTTAATAAAAAACTGGTACATATGTATTATAAATATCCTTATTAATCACCTTAAACATGTAATTAATGGTAAAGGGGGACCCATTAAATATTAAGGTTTATTGATGTAATGGGTTATTGACTTTTTATATACTTCTGTGATTTTTATGAAGTGTATATTTGCAATAAATATCTTGTGTCTTCTATATGTAGTTTTGGGTTTGTTTCAAATTTTACCAATATAATCATGATAATTTATATCATGTCGTATGTTATAGAAAATATTTCATGTAACACATAGAGTAAGATTCAGAATAAGTTTCCACAAGTGTTTGAATACTTTCGTGAGCCTGTATATTTAGTACATTCAGAACATTCAATTTTTAAAGGTAACGGTTGCTCAACTGTTGCAAATAAAACGAGATTTCAAGCAATTTGTCCGAATATTACTGGTAGCATATTCGGTTAACAACGTTACCTTGTGCTCGGTTTCGTTTCTATCGATCAGTTGCGAATCATGCAGGGAACAGCGTCGGAATGGAAAGTCACGAGACTCTGGTTATCGTTGGCGAGGCTCGAAGCACGGTTTACGTGACACGAGCTAGCGTGCACCGACGTGGCTCGCTCTATAAAACAACGGAGACGAAATTAGCCGTGAACGGCCGTGAAAAATGCGCCGAACGGGAATATACCAGGCTAAGAATAATCCACGAAGGTACGCCATTTTGGAAGAGCAGGCTCTTCGTGTAATTGATTTCTGTTGTGTGCTGTCGTTAGGTCGTTGGCGCTTCTACGAAACACCTGTTCTCTAACACCTGGCGCTTCTTATTACTATATAGTATACTGTACAACTTTTAACATTTAACTCTTATCATTATTTTGTTCTAAATTGCCATATTTTGTATATACTGGTTAAGACGATACAGTTTTGAATATGAACGAACTTTTTTTAGTAGGTTTAGATTGAGGATTTTTGTACGTTTTTCTATAAACACTCTTTTCATCTTCTTCTTTTTCCGCTTGTTCGACTTACCGTGTTCTAGAAAATTAAC